TTACTCTCTCTCTGTGTCACCTCTTGTTCTCTAGCCTCTATTTGATTTTTTTTGTTTTTTGTTTTCAATGGTTGGGTGATGGCCTTTCAGGGTGTTGGTGATGGGTTTTCAGGGGTGTTGGTGGTGGGTTTTGAATGGTTGGTTGGTGGTGAGTTTTGGAATTAGAGTTGCTAAAAATATTTCTCTCTATTTTAACTTTTCACAAAATATACTCTTTATTGCATAAAATATTTTCTCTAAAATAGAAAACACTATTATGCCCTGTTTGATTTGAAGGAAAGTTGGGTAAATGAAAATTGATGAAAAAAAAGTTTGGTGGATGGAAAGATTTTTTACTGTTTGCTATAAAAGAAAGTATAAGGGAAAGGAAAACTGGAGGAAGAACATTTCCCTCTATCTCAAGATTTTTTTTCCACCCACAAGTGGGTGAAAATTGAAAAGGAAATGTGGGATAATATGTTTTTTAAGATAAGTTTACTTTTTTGTCCTTCAATANTTCTATTTTTTTTAGCAACTTTGTTTTAAAAATAAGGTCAAACAATGAAAATACAAAAAAAGAGTTTTCATAAACACCAAAAAACAAAAAACAGGCGTGTTTAATCTTGTGATTAATGAGATTCCGATTTCAATCCTCCTTAGCCACAAAAAAATAAGTTTATTTTTGCTCGAGTATAAAAACCCTCCCCTTTCACTCTCTCTTTTTCCCATCTCTTCTACCCCCTCACTCTCCTTTCCCTTTCTTTCTCTTACTCTCTCTCTGTGTCACCTCTTGTTCTCTAGCCTCTATTTGATTTTTTTTGTTTTTTGTTTTCAATGGTTGGGTGATGGCCTTTCAGGGTGTTGGTGATGGGTTTTCAGGGGTGTTGGTGGTGGGTTTTGAATGGTTGGTTGGTGGTGAGTTTTGGAATTAGAGTTGCTAAAAATATTTCTCTCTATTTTAACTTTTCACAAAATATACCCTTTATTGCATAAAATATTTTCTCTAAAATAGAAAACACTATTATGCCCCGTTTGATTTGAAGGAAAGTTGGGTAAATGAAAATTGATGAAAAAAAAGTTTGGTGGATGGAAAGATTTTTTACTGTTTGCTATAAAAGAAAGTATAAGGGAAAGGAAAACTGGAGGAAGAACATTTCCCTCTATCTCAAGATTTTTTTTCCACCCACAAGTGGGTGAAAATTGAAAAGGAAATGTGGGATAATATGTTTTTTAAGATAAGTTTACTTTTTTGTCCTTCAATATATTCTAATATATATATTGCGCCAATATATAATTCACTATTTAAGGGTAAAATTAGGGGTGTTCATGAGCCGGGTTATCCACGGGTTTCGTTTTTCGGCCCGAAGCCTGATAGTTGCCCCGCCTGAGCCCAATATCCTTAAAAAAAAGGTTTGGGTTTGCCCCCAAACCCATTACCTGGCCCGAGAGCCCGCCCGTCAAGCTCGTCAGCAAGCCCAACCCACCTACCCTTCGTTTGAAAAAAAAGTTATACTTTTAGACTATTAAATTTGAAACTTTGAAATAAATCTCTTAATATCGAAATTTGAAAATTTAAAAATTTAGATATTATGAATAATATATTATTTTCTTTTCCATCTATTAAACATATAAGTTTTAAATGGTAGAGTAATGCAAATGATAGATAAGTTAATAAGTGTCAACTTAATTGGAATTTATTCATTCTATTGGATGTAGTTTATTATTTTATTTTTATCTATTTTGATTTTACTTTTAATTCAAAAATATATTTTACACAAATATTANTAATTTTACTTTTGATTCAAAAATATATTTTACACAAATATTAAGTTACAAAAATATTCATTATTTTTAAATAAAAATGTATATAAAAAAGCTCGCAAACAGGCCCGCCCAACAAGTCCGCCGGGTTGGGCTGCGGGTAGCTTACCCCTACCCGAAGCCTGGCCCAGCCCTCCCGATAATTCACTTGGGTAAGGGTTTGGGCCTACACTACCCAGGCCCGGCTCGAAAAAAATTTCACGGGCCTAGCCCGGTCCAGCCCATGGTCCCCTTAGGTAAAGTTGTAAATTGATCATACATGTTTTTCCTTTCTTTTCATTTTTCATCCAATACTAAACGATGAAAAATATATCTCTCATACTCTCCATCCCTCCTAGCAAACAAAAAAGGGAAATAGTTTTATTTCATTCAAGGATAGAAAGTTTATCTATTTTAGTTTTTCTTCCTTCCTTTTTTTTATCCTTCGTATCAAACAGATCATTAGAATTTTTCAACTTTTCACTGTTCTACTTTTTTTGTCAATCTTTCAAACTAGAGCTCTAATCGAGGCACTGTTATTTTCTGTAAGTTTTTATCTCCGGGAAGTATTTCTCGGTCCGTTTTCACGACAAATAGAAACAGAACACATTGATCGAACCTTTAGGTCGAAATTCTTGTTTTAGAAATTTCCAAATTTTCACAATTCTAATTTTTCCTCAATCTCCCAAACTGGGGCTCTGATCGGAATGCCATCATTTTCTATAAGTTTTTATCATTGAGAAGTTTCTTGAAGTCCGTTTTATGGTAAACAAAGTGAGAACGGGCCGATTGGACCCTTAGGTCGAAATTCTAGTTTAGAAAAATTATATATTTTCATAATTATATATTTTTTTTGTTATTCTATCAAATAGGGCCAACATTGAGACACCTTCAATTTTTATAAATTTCTATATTTAATAAGTACCTCTCGGTCCAATTTCACGAAAAACAGGGCGAGAACAACCTGATAAGACCCTTAGGTCATAATTGTAATTTTAGAATTTCTAAGTTTTAACAATTCTACTTTTTCGTCAATCTCTCAAACTTGGGCTCGGATCGAAAAGTTGACTTTTCGATAAGTTTCTATTCCCGAAAAAAAATATCTTTGTCCATTTTGCTTGAGCAGGAAAGGGCGTATCAGAACCTTAGGTCGAAATTTTAGTTTTGTGCCTTGTTTGGTTTGAAGGAAAGTTGGGTGGATGAAAATTGGTGGAAGAAAAGTTGGGTGAATGGAAAGATTTTTCACTATTTGGTATCAAAGGAAAGTATAAGGGAAAGGAAACTAGACATAAAACATTTCCTTCCATCCCACAGTTTTTTACACCCACAAGTGGGCCGAATTGAGTAGGAAAAATGGTACAATATATTTTTTAAGATAAGTTTATTTTTTTGGTCTTCAATATATTCTAATATATGTATTGCACCAATACACAATTCACTATTTAAACAATTCATTATTTAAGGGTAGAATTATAAATTGAGCATGCATATTTTTTCTTTCCTTTTATTTTTCATCTAATATCAAACGATGAAAAATATATTTCTCATACTTTTCATCTCTTTTATCAAACAAAAATAATTTTCTTTCAATTAAGGAAAAAAAAATTTATCCCTTTCACTTTTTCTGATTTTTTTTCCTTTCATAATACGTATCAAATAGACCACTAGGGATCCTCTGAGTCACCTAATTAAGTGACGTAAAGGATCATCATTAATGTTATGTCGCCTATTATGAGGTGCCCATCACATGGGGACTTGGCTTTATTTTCGCTTTGACTTTCTCCCTTCCATAGCCCCTACATGGCTTTGCTGGACACACAGATATATATATATATGATTATGTCATTGGATGCTAATGCTTGGATGTCTTTAGAGAAAACAACTTAGAGAACGATGAATTGAGGGTATAAATTAAAATTTTTTATTTTTAAAGATATAAATTAATATTTAAAAAATCTTTTAGAGCATAATTTACGGTTAACTTAAATTACAATCACTTTAAAACTTAAAAATTCTTTATTCAATGTATCATGCTCCAGTACATTGTAACTGGTCTTAAACCGTCAGTAATAATAATAATAATAATAAATATATATGGGTAAGTCTAATACTACATTACCCAAAAAAAAAAAAAATATATATATATAATAATAATAAACCCACCCCACACATGGTGATGGCACATCCACCCTCATCTGTTACAAACGCAGCCACCTTATCGATTCCATTTGACATTGAGCAATGATGAGGATGTGGGAAATTAATTTATTATATTCGTTATTAAAATAAGAAAGTAAAATGGAGCAATTTAGCTATCCATTTGTAGATTCACATCTTTATAACTAGTATTAGGAAAACAATAAAATGTTTTCCTAAGATTTTTTTTTTAATTAATGGTCAAGAATGTTCGGGTCAATTTTTTCACACCTCGAATAATTTTTTTTCTAGTGTGTTGCATGTGAATCTCTCTCTCTCTCCCCTAAGGATTAAACCCTCAACCAAAAAATAAAGAAAAATGGATTGTGTGTTGAAGATGACAATTTTTGACATGACGCGTAAATATGATTTGAAATTAGTTAGTTATGGTTAATTATTTCTCGGCACAAAATTGTAAATAACACGAGCTATTAACACCCATAATAAATGAGTTGAATTAGTGTCAAACGCAAATAAATATGAAATAGACTAATTAACACGTTTAACTAATATTATAGAAATAAAATACCAAATTTTTTTTTCTCAAATATCGACATAACCCTTAGTGAGTTTGATTTTGAGATAATGTAGTATTAGGCTTAAATTTTAGTGTTAAATTTTTTATTCACATGTTAATAAGAACACGATATCCAAACAGATAGGTCATATATAAATAACACAATTAATTAAATGAGTTGAATTTGAGTTGATTGTTACTCCACGTGAATTGTAAATAATAATGCATGCTTCCCGCCCTTTGAAATTCACTAGTATAGGAATGCATCAGTTGGGCTGAGAAATGGCACAATGGGATTCACACCATTGTCAGTGAAGAGAACCAGTTCAATTCACTGAGAAATGCCTTCTCACTGGTTAGCCATGTCCGATCCTTTTTACCTGTAAACTGCTGGCTCTCTCACATTGCTCTTCAATTTGCTTCAACGACCGTGGAAAACCCTCCCCCTCCTTCAACATTGACTTCCTCGTGTGACTTTTGTACACAATTCAGCTTCTGGCGTTTTGAAATGGATCCCACTGGTCGTCTTCTTCATCAGCACCATCATCATCAACCTTTTCTCTCACCTTTCCTTCTCAACAATCACTGCAACAGACAACAGATTTCATTACTTACTCTAAAATTCTCCTACTCCTCAGGTCTCTCTCTCTCTCTCTCTCTCCCCTGTGTTGATGTTTTGCTTTTTATTATCCAATTGTTCCGTCTTGATTGAGAATTGGAATCTATTTGTTTGCAGAAGTGAGTTTTCTAGGGTTTCCGATTCAGCTCCATCCGATTATTCCAGGTAAAGTTCACTACTTATGCTACTCAGCTCTCTGATTACGCGCCTTTATTTGAAATTTCTCCATTTCGGCAAAAGCTTGTTCATAGTGTGCTTCTCTTTTTCTTCTTCTTCTTCTTTTTTTTTTTTTATAGTTGGGAGATCACGAGCATTCATTGGCAGATGTGCATCAAACAAGTTCTCTGACTCATTCCAGAATGATCTTTCCTCAAATTATGCATCTGAACCTCCTCAGGTATTGCGAGGGGTGAATCTATGTGTGGGCCAGGGGGCACTGGCCCACCCTTAAAATATTTATCTTAATTTTTTATATATGATATTTAATTATTTACTTTAATATTATTTGATGGGTTCACTTTTGGAATGATCTTAAGTTGCATATTTGCGAGTTTTTTTTGTTCTAATTAAATTCATAATTTGGTGGTAAAATTAACACTTTTTTTCTAAAATTGATGATTGACTTGTTTCAATTGGATTATATTGAAATTATTACCCTTACTTCTTAAATTTTTATTTCATTTTACAATTTTAATATAAAAATATAAAAAAAAATCGTCAGGTTTAATTATAAATAGATGTAATAAGCCTTTTATTTTTGTAGAAGTTGTAATTAATATCTTTTTATAGTTTTTTATTCATATAAGATATATGTATTAACTTTTGATCTTTTTTGAGTGTAATTGGTGATTGAATTAAAAATACCATTTGGTAAATAATAGTATTGTTTGGTAATGATCTTTTGCATTTGCATTAAAAAATTTGTTGACACTAGGCTTTAATAAGATTTTTTGGTTGACGGTTTAAATTTTAATGGAGTTTAAATTTGTGATATACATTATTTTATTAACATATATAAAATATAGGATCATCTTTATGAAAACCCAAAGTCATTAATCTCTTTATGCTAGAGTTGATCCTACTTAAAGTGTCCCTTCTTGAGTCAATTTCTGGTTCCGCCCTTGCTTGTGCAAGTGCTTGTTCTCTGTTGGGTGTGGCGAAACTCAGTCTTTGTGTTTACCAATTAGTTTTTGGTAATTGCGAAGTTTTACGGGAGACAAATTGGAAGTGGTATATTTTCTGTCTGATTTGATGAGTTGTTGCAGATGCTTGAGCAAAATGAGGAGGCTTCTTTTCTCACAATTTTGAACGGAGCAAATGCTATTCTCCCTCAAGTGATCATCGCCAGTACGATTTTGGCTCTTAAATATCCACCTTCTTTCACATGGTTTACTACCAGGTTGTTTACCATTTTGTAATGATTAGGTTGATTTATGTACTGTAAATGTGCATAATCTGTTAGATGCCATGGGAAAAAAATAGTGACTTTTAATCCCTCTAAATTTGTCACGAAATATGGTTATCTCCTACCATCACAAAAGTTTTATATACAAACCACTGATCAAAATTTTGATTTGAAATGATCAAACTGTTTGAATATTTCGAGGTATTATGTAATGTTTCAATACATTTGCACAATTATTTCAAAATATTTCAAAACATTTTGGTACATTTCGACCAATATTTTAAAAAAATAATTCTTGAATTCTTATTTTTTTTAATTTTGTTTCTAAAATGGGTCAAAATGTTTCCAAAACTCGTCGACACATTTTTGTTTCTCAGTTGATCGAAATAATGCACAAAAAAAAAATTTGATCCTTTATACAAACTACTTTAACTTCCAGTCTTTTGCTCTGGATACTAAACCGGACTATTTTCAGGTATTATACCCCAGCTTTAGGTTTTCTGATGTTCGCAGTAGGAGTGAATGCTAGCGAAAAGGATTTTGTTGAAGCATTCAACAGACCAGCAGCTATTTTTTCTGGTTATGTCGGCCAATTTGTTGTAAAGCCTCTTCTTGGATATCTTTTTGGCACAATTTCGATAACTATGTTGGGTCTCCCTACTTCCTTAGGTAAAAGCATCTCCTATCTTTTGAAAATTGGTGAATGTATGCTAACTTCCACGATCAAAATTAGAGTCTTTTGATATAAGTTTTTTGCAGTAACAATGTTTACCATAAAAAAAGTGTATTTTGGAAAAAATAATTATTTTATGACCGTAATAATATCATAAAAGGTTCATTTGTCATTGCAAATACTATATGAGATAGTAGTTGCCGCCACAAAGACTTTTTAAACTATACTTATTATGATGACACATGCCGTCATAACACCTTACCGTAATAAGTGGAATTTCAAAAAATCTTTGTGATGGAAACAATTTCTCTCAAATAATATTTGCAGCTGTGAATAAATTTTTTCTGATAGTGCAACCGCCATAAAAAAAATTCTTTCAAAACACACTTTTTGTGACGATAAACACTACGGCCGCAAAAAATTTGTCTCAAACGATCCTAATTCTTGTAATGGTGTTCTGTACCCGGTGAAACAATAAATACGTACTAACGTCCGTAAATTTATGATTCAGCTGCTGGGATCATGTTGGCTTCTTGTGTTAGTGGTGCCCAGCTCTCAAATTATGCCACTTTTCTAACAGATCCCACTATGGCCCCTCTAAGCATAGTGATGACATCGTTGTCAACCGCAACTGCAGTTTTTGTCACTCCAATCTTGTCATTGCTGCTTATTGGCAACAATATACCCCTTGATGTAAAAGGCATGGTGTCCAATATTCTGCAGATCGTAGTTACTCCCATTGCTGCTGGCTTGCTACTGAATAGGTGATGATATGATTTCAAATATCTCTTTAAATAACGTACTTAGGATACGAGACTCCTGTTATTCCAGAATTTGGGTAGAGTTAAATATACGCAATCTTATTTATGAAAATACGTAGATAGGTTGTTTTCGCGGCTCGAACCCGTGACTTCAAATCACAATAAAGCAACTTACCGTTGCGACAAGCTGGCCCTCATTTCAAATATTTCTTATTATGATAAATCATATGAGTTTCTTACCTATTTTCTTGCATCTACACAGGTTCTTTCCTCAGATTTGCAACGCTATACGCCCATTTTTGCCTCCCCTATCTGTATTGGTGACTGCTCTCTGCATTGGAGCTCCACTTGCTATCAACATAGAATCTGTTCTTTCTCCTTCTGGAATATCTGTTGTGTTGCTTGTCATTGCATTTCATTTGTCGGCATTTATTTTCGGATACGTCTTTACCGGCCTGATCTTTCGCAAAGCCCCTGATGTAAAACCGCTGCAGAGAACATTATCCTACGAGACAGGTGGTTACACTTCGTCAAAACCATGGCTACAAAGAAAAAGAAACAAAAAAAGCGTGTGTTTCTTAAGCTGATTGATTCATATACATATTTCTGTAATGTAGGTATGCAGAGCAGTCTTCTGGCCCTTGCACTTGCGAATAGGTTTTTCCAAGATCCATTAGTGGGTGTGCCCCCTGCCATATCTGTAAGTTGATCTTTCACTGATTAACCACTTAGGTCACTATTTTGATCCTAAATAGAAAAATCTGATGTCAAATTGTCTCCTTTCTGTAATGAGAAACACTAAGTCCAAGGAAGCTCAAGTAGTAATAGAGACAAACTGTAAACTCAGATGTCTAGTTTGAATCTTGGTAAATCTTTTAAGATTTGGCCATTAGCGATTTATCTTTAGTCTTGACGTAGATGGTTAATATTTACTAGACCAAATAAGAAATTAGTTAAAATACATGTAAACCAATTTGAATAATCCTTACCGTTAAACCAAAAAATATAAAAATAAAAATGAGAACCGCAGGAGTGTAGTGTATCCCCTGATAAGAAAAAAGTTATACAAGGTAATTGTGGTTTGATTGCGGATGTTCTTTCATTTGGTGAGTCAATTAAAAGTGGGGAAATCTGTCGGGTGTTATAATAGTGATATGACTCGAAGCTTAGGAATCAGCATCACTGACTAGTCCAGCTTTTCTTAGAATGATGTTACGTAAATTACATCAATGATATAGGCAATGTGTCTCCAACATTAGCTTTATCTACGTCTTGCTTTCGTTAAGGTGTATCTACATATGGATGGTGGTAGCGTCTGTTTTATTGGTGGATGATTCTACAAGAACAAAGAGGCCCTAAACTTGCATTAATCTGTATCCATAGATAAAGCTGAACTTTGAAATTGTAGCCGACCCTGAGTTGAGTCGTGGCTCAGTTGAGTGGGCAGAGAGAGAGATATCTTTTTTACCCTGAGCACCCTGCATGAAACCCGAAACCATTCGTGCAACCAAATGAAATTAAAGGCAAATGAGAGATAAACGATCTAGTGACAATACTGCTTTGATTTCTAAAAGTGGTCAACTGTAAAAGATTGTATACACTAGGTGTCTGNGGTTCTCTTGCTCTCTCTAAATCGTGTGCAACAATGTAAATAAAGTCCATCACAGTTTTATCCGTCTCTGTGTACTTAGTTCTCTTCAACAAGTGTTTAAAGGACAAAAATATGGACATTTTTTCTCAACTTTTCATGAAGACCTTGAGGTTACTTTTTATGCTCTCTAGTATGATCCAAAGAAGATGGTTTAAGTAACCTTGTTATTTAGTGGAGACATGGTAGACATACATTTTATTATATTTCACTAGGGATTCTTTATGAATTTGCTGTAAAATGGGCAAAAGAATCATGAAATTCAAAACAGATAAAATAGAAAAAAAAATAATAAACTAAAAACAGATAAATTAAAATAGTAATAAAAATCAAAGTTTTTATTAATACAGATAAATTAATTAACCTAAAACAGTTTTAATAATTTAAGACTTATTAAAACAGATAAATTTAAAACAAAATAATCATGGGGAACAAAATCTATGATACCGATAAATTTATGTTGAATAGAATGAAAATCAAAGTTTTTTAAAACAGATAAATTCACATAAAATATTATCGAAAATAAATTTCATGACACAGATAAATTCATGTTATATATAATAAAAATCAAAGTTTTATTCCTACAGATAAATTGACCTAAATAAATTCAAAACGAACNTATTTCACTAGGGATTCTTTATGAATTTGCTGTAAAATGGGCAAAAGAATCATGAAATTCAAAACAGATAAAATAGAAAAAAAAATAATAAACTAAAAACAGATAAATTAAAATAGTAATAAAAATCAAAGTTTTTATTAATACAGATAAATTAATTAACCTAAAACAGTTTTAATAATTTAAGACTTATTAAAACAGATAAATTTAAAACAAAATAATCATGGGGAACAAAATCTATGATACCGATAAATTTATGTTGAATAGAATGAAAATCAAAGTTTTTTAAAACAGATAAATTCACATAAAATATTATCGAAAATAAATTTCATGACATAGATAAATTCATGTTATATATAATAAAAATCAAAGTTTTATTCCTTCAGATAAATTGACCTAAATAAATTCAAAACGAAAAAAAAAATCATGGAAAATAAAGTGTAGCATATAGATAAATTAAATATTTAGAGATGAAGAGGGATGATATCACCACCACAAATGATGGAGATTGAGAAGTAAAGATTTGAGAGCCACTTAAGTGTTGCCGCTGCAGATGAAGGAGATGGGGTTGAAGTATAGATGAAAAAAGGCAATGCTGCTACCGAAGATGAAGGAAACGAAGAAGTAAAAATGGAAAGATAGTAATTTGTCGCCACCNAGTTTTTTAAAACAGATAAATTCACATAAAATATTATCGAAAATAAATTTCATGACATAGATAAATTCATGTTATATATAATAAAAATCAAAGTTTTATTCCTTCAGATAAATTGACCTAAATAAATTCAAAACGAAAAAAAAAATCATGGAAAATAAAGTGTAGCATATAGATAAATTAAATATTTAGAGATGAAGAGGGATGATATCACCACCACAAATGATGGAGATTGAGAAGTAAAGATTTGAGAGCCACTTATGTGTTGCCGCTGCTGCAGATGAAGGAGATGGGGTTGAAGTATAGATGAAAAAAGGCAATGCTGCCACCAAAGATGAAGGAAACGAAGAACTAAAAATGGAAAGATAGTAATTTGTCGCCACTTTAGATGAAGGAAAAACACGAAACGACGGTATAAAACATCACCCGAAGAAGAATGCTCCATGGATTCATGTGAGCTAAGTAAGAGATACTGCGTGAAAGTTGTCTGCCTGTTTTTGTTGACCAAATAAATGTAGGCGGTGGACCTCCTGACCATTTTCTCTTTATATAATGTTCTCTAACGTATTGACTTGGGCTGTAACCAGGCCTTTGACTGGTCAGTGGGCTGGGCTAGCCTTGTCCACAAAACATACAACCCGTTACGAGAAAAAGTAATGTCAGTTTTGTTTATTATTCCCACTGATCTCTTACTGTAAATGATCAAACGAGACAAAACTGAAATTGCTCGAATTTTTCTAAATATATGATGAATATTGTAATGTGGTTGTCTTAAAACTAACTTGCATAGGTTAGTTCAATGCCAAAGATTTGTGTGGTTTACAAATAATTGCATGTATTCGAAATTTATGTTACCGTCGTGAATTTAAAAAAATTGTGGNAATGCCAAAGATTTGTGTGGTTTACAAATAATTGCATGTATTCGAAATTTATGTTACAGTCATGAATATAAAAAAATTGTGATTGGACAAAAAGTCCCAAATGGTATAATTTGAACTCGAGGTGAAAAATGAAAGAAGGCACCTTGTGTTCCCGTGAGACAAACAATAGGTCAAAAGCAAAGCATTGGGATGCCCCCTCCCCAAGTATGGGCCCAAGAGAATTGAGTGATTTAAAACACTATATTATGAACCAAAGGCCATGGTTTTGACCTTACACAAAGCTTTTTATAGCTTTGGTGGCTATCAAAGGGGTGTTAAAATATAACACGATTCGTTATTACGGTACGAAATTAGAAGGTTTAAGTCTTCTTTAAATCGCTCGTTTGTAAACGAGTAGACATGATAAGACACGATTAATAAACGAATCGGATATGAATGCAGTCAATCAAAAGAAATACACGACACGACTCAGTTTATATACTGGTTATATATGGTTTATGAACGACAAAAACCCGATATAACCCGACTCGTTAAATACGAATTAATACACAAATCTTTTATGAGTGATGTGTTTTTTGACNGCTATCAAAGGGGTGTTAAAATATAACACGATTCGTTATTACGGTACGAAATTAGAAAGTTTGAGTCTTCTTTAAATCGCTCGTTTGTAAACGAGTAGACATAATAAGACACGATTAATAAACGAATCGGATATGAATGCAGTCAATCAAAAGAAATACACGACACGACTCAATTTATATACTGGTTATATATGGTTTATGCACGACAAGAACCCGATATAACCCGACTCATTAAATACGAATTAATACACAAATCTTTTATGAGTGATGTGTTTTTTGACATAAACTCACTAAAATCTGACACGAACCCGTCTCACCCGACACGATTAACCGCGTAATCCCAATTACTATATCACTAAGCTAACTTGACACCGGTTAGATCGACTTTAAGACCATTGCACTGCCTATTTACTATACCAAGCAAAGAAATCCACTCATGTTGGATGTCACAGGAACATTTGGAAGTTGCATGTCTTGAACATCCAGAAAACTATGGACCATCACTACTATGCACTAGCTAATTTCAATGCTTTGTTTATTGTCTTGCAGTTAATTAATGAACTCAAATGGGAAACCACTTGCGAAGAGGATAATAAGATGAGAGGCAACAACTTCAAACCGAAAAGAGTGGACCTGTGAGAAAGTATAAGCATGTAACATTATCCCAGATTCCTTGCTTATTAGGTGCCCATCACATGGGGGACTTGGTTTTATTTTTGTTTTAACTTACTTCCTTCCAACTGTTACAACCCTACATGGCTTTGTTGCAGATATATATAATATGATTATATCACTGGATGTTAATGATTCGATGTCTTTAATGAAGGAACTTGGTTAAGGTTGAACATAAAATATCATAAATTCACTAGCATTAGCTAGCTGTTGAAAGTTTCTAAGCCTGCAGAGCCTGCCTTTCCTGAAGACTTAAACTTTCTAAGTCCATAAGTCTCCATTAATTTGATTCCAAACGAAATTTCCCATAAATTTACATTAATAGAGCAGCGACCTTGCTAGTTGGCAAATTTAGTAGATGAATATTGATGGCCTTTTCTTTTGGTTTAGTGGCTGCACAAAATCACACACACACACACACATATATATATATATATTACTTTGGCTCACATATCCCAATTTGTCATATCACTAAACTAACTTGACACCAGTTAGATCGACTTTAAGACACTTGCACTGCCTATTTAGTATTTACTAAGTCAAGCAGAGAAATCCACTCATGTTGGATATCAAAGGAACAGTTGGAGGTTACATGGCATGAACATCCAGAAAAACATGGACCTCCACAATGAACTTGGAGATAGGGAGAGGGGAGGAAGGGGAGACAAAGAGCATCTTTATTGCATGGGTTTTCGACCAGAAAGGTCACGCGACAGCAGAGAGTCCATGAGTTTCAGAACCAAAACAAGAAGAGAGAATCCCAACAAGTGTTGATTCTTCACAGTTCACACCCAATAACTATAAAGAATCATCAGAGAAGCTCGTGCTTTGCCTTACTGTGTGTCAGCGCCACCAACGCGTCTTTTCTCTCACTTCCACACCCACCCACCACCACCAACATTACACTCAAGTTACCTGACCTAACAACCAAATTACACCCTCTACCATCTTATGGTTAACTGGGGCTGAAACATGTCCGAGGGGTCAATAAAATAATTTTCAAATCGTTGTTTTGTTGTTTTTGTAGCAAAATTTTGAATTACGATCACTTTTGATACTTCAATTTTTTTATCTCATGTGTTGATTTANACATGTCCGAGGGGTCAATAAAATAATTTTCAAATCGTTGTTTTGTTGTTTTTGTAGTAAAATTTTGAATTACGATCACTTTTGATACTTCAATTTTTTTATCTCATGTGTTGATTTGACGATGTGACCACTAACTTGCTTCTATACATTATAACTAGTCTTAAACGGTGTAACTTGAGAAATTATTAAATGTCAAGTTTTTAATTGTTAATAAAATTACTCATACAATTTTTCCGTTTTTCTCATAAGCTCATGTACAGTAGTTGCCCAAATTGAGGACCACAGCAAGAGCCATAAGGTGAAGGTCAAAGAATAGAGAGACCCGTAGAAAGCGGGAGGAGACAGAGAAGAGAGACGAAGAAGAAAAGAGAAAAGGAGAGGGGGGGGGGGGGGAATGGACGNGGGGGGGGGGGGGGGGGGGGGGGGGGGGGGGGGGGGGGGGGGGGGGGGGGGGGGGGGGGGGGGGGGGGGGGGGGGGGGGGGGGGGGGGGGGGGGGGGGGGGGGGGGGGGGGGGGGGGGAGAAAAGGGAGGGGGGGGGGGGGGGGGGGGGGGGGGGGGGGGGAATTGACACGTGTCAAACTTATAGAAAGCAAGTGGACCCGCAAACGTTAATTATGAGACATCCACCCTCCTCCCTCACAAAAGCAGCCACCCGATTGATTCCATTTGAGATTGAGAAATTATATGGGAATCTAATTTAGTGAATTAATTTAAGGTCATAAATCATGAAGATTTATGTTTTGTTTTTATTTTTTTGGGATAAATATGAAGATTTGGGTTCAAGAATGAAATTTTGGTAAATGAGAAAATCCTAATTATTCAAAATGTGCATAAGGATTAAACCCTTGACCGAGAAGAAAAAGAAAAAGGAAAATGTTATTTGGACTTAAAAATCTGACATAATTTGCTGACCTAATAACGTGGTTTCACTGGAACCATTAGATTAACACTAAATTCTAATATTTGATGGAGCCCACAGTCAATTCAAAAATCATAACAAATTAAGTTAATAAATTAGGTGCTAATAACGTTGCTAAAAAAAAAGGTTTGTGTGTTGAAAGGAAACGGACAAAAGAGAGGTTGAATTAGGAGATAGGCACTTAAAACTATATAATTGAATAGCATCATATAGTATTAATAGAGGGAGGGGGAGAGAGGAGAGGGGAATAAATATTCAATACAATGCTGACATTGTATTATCATTACTACGTGGTGCTACCATCTAATAAAAAATCAAAAGAAAGAACTTAATACCATTTCTTTACTTGGGGTAAGTATTGTATGATATGGAATTGATAGTTTAATGAATTATGTGGGTTGGGTTCATTTGTCCATACTGAATATTGACACTATGTGGTGGTGATGACGTGTTACCGTTATATTGAACATTTTCCTCAGACAGAGAGAGAAGACATATCATAAACCATCCATAAGTGGTCGTCGTGTTCCAAAACCAAACTCATCAACACTCTAATTTTTTCAAGAGACGCTATTTAAACAAAAAATATTGACACTTTTTGTTGACTTCTTTCATCATAATTATTAAATACATAGTGAGTTATAATAAATATTAAGATCCATAATTAAATCAATAATAGTGATGTTGGGAATTCACAAATGTTGTCAATATTTTTTGTCCTAGTAGCATTACTTTTCTTTCGATCTAATCCTAACCTAAAGTGCATTTCATTTTTTTTATTTGACTTTTTATTGAATAGTAACATCATATGAAAGTGATTATGTGACGTAACCATTGCATTTTGAGTGAGAGAGAGAAGAGAGAGAGAGGATGCATCATCAACCACCTATAAGTGTACACAGAGTTATCAATCAAGCAATGTTATTGGAATATAATTTGGAGACTTAATGATTATAATCATTGAATTGTCGGTGGGTCTTAGAATTGAATGCATCTTACTATTAATCTAATGGTTATAATGCATTAAGATTCTAAATTATGTCTTTAACCTATGGCCAATCTATTCTTTCCATCTAACCCTAACCCAATACGCACCCCCATAAAGTAAGAGAACCATCACCCATTCTCTCATCTTCACCCATTCCAAACCTTAACAACAACGGCAAGAAATACCGTTAACCTTAGGAAAGATTACAAAGAGTTGTAGAGGGAAGAAAGATGGTTGATTTCAGCTGAGAATTTGGTGGGTGACACTCAAAATCCACTGCATTTTCCTCTTTTACGGTGAATTGTACTTTTTGATTCATTAAACACGCCCAAAAAACGTCAAAGCAAGCAAGAAAGCAAAAAAAAAAGAGAGAAAAAGAGACCCAACCCAAAAGCCCACTCCCCATACCTTCCTTTTCCCACTTTCTTCATTTTTGAGTCATTGCAACCTTTACTTACACTTCTAGTTATCGATCTTACAGGACACTGGATTTGTGTCTGTGAAGAAATTAGGGTTCTGATCGAGAAAAGGAAGGTAAACTTGAAGCAACAGCATGGATCCAATAACAGCATCAGCGCATGGCCTTTCACTCCCACCTCCATTTCATACCAGAGATTTCACTCTGCAACACCACCAATTTCACCACCAGAATTCAGAAGATGATGAAAGCGGCACGAGTGGTCTAAACATGGGACAGAACCGAGATCCTGACGATATCGTAAACTCCGGCGAAGGCAGAGAAAGTTGCGCAGAAACTGGTGACGGCGACATGACAAGGAGGCCCCGGGGAAGACCCGCCGGATCAAAGAACAAACCCAAGCCACCGATCATCATCACTCGTGATAGTGCCAATGCCTTGAGAACCCATGTCATGGAGGTTTCAGATGGGTGCGATATCATGGAGGGCATAGCGAATTTTGCTCGAAGAAGACAGAGAGGGGTCTGCATTATGAGTGGCAGTGGCACTGTAACTAATGTAACCCTAAGACAACCGGCCTCACCTGGTGCAATTGTGAATTTACGTGGGCGATTTGAGATCTTATCCTTATCTGGGTCTTTTCTGCCACCACCAGCGCCACCAATCGCGACCGGGCTGACTATATACCTAGCCGGAGGACAAGGGCAAGTGGTGGGTGGTGCCGTGGCTGGGGTGCTTCTGGCTTCAGGTCCGGTGGTGATTATAGCTGCCTCATTTAGTAATGCTGCATATGAGAGGCTTCCATTAGAAGAGGAAGAGAATTCTCTTCCAATTGAAGATGGTTCTCTTGGATCTCCAGGAGGGTTGGGACAGCAACAACATCCACTATTGACAGATCCATCACTATTCCATGGCATGTCGCCTAACCTTCTCAACTCCATTCAATTGCCAGCTGAATCTTATTGGGCCACCGGTCGTCCACCATACTAGCTGAGAAACTAATCATCCGAGTGTTTCTTTTGCTCCATGTTGACTTGGAGGAGGCCACCGGTTTAAGTCGTGAAAATAACATTTCTATTTACATGATCAAGATTGTATGCATTCAATCTTTTTTAAACTCTGTAATGACGAAAGCCTCATTGTGTACGCTCTTTGCTATTTACCATCTTTTAGCTCACCAAGAACTCGTAGCAATATTTTTAGGAAGAAGAACTTTGGTTTATTGAGATTTTCAGGTTGATTCGTTTCCTCTCTCTCCATCTTTCTTTATATTTTATGTTAGTTTTTTGTTAGAAGTTTGACAATCAATTGATATGCCTTTCTTAAATTGAAGAACTTTGTGAATTGTTGTTTTCTTGGTGGGTTCTGTTTTATGAGAATAATTGAGGCAATTTGTTGAAACAAATCCATAAGGAGGAACAAAGTGATCATCAACTAGTGAGACAAATCTCCAATCTCTCCCTCTCACACACACCCACACTAACACTGGAAGAAGGTTTAGGGTCTGCCCTTTCTTTTCACACACTCAGGGAACAACCTAGACATTCCTCAATTTCGTGAAACCCCATCATCATTTCGGCATTCATTTTATCAGAAGAGGAACAACATTTTATGTAGTCATGTTTATCAAAATTAATGTTGTTATGGTGTTGTGTTAGTAAGCTGATGTAATAAAAGGAGGCCACCGACTGTTTCAATGAATTGGTAGTCAACTACTTACAAGAAGAATATACGCATATGGGCATTCTAGTTTCTAACTTAATTTCTAACAATTTTCTTTTTATATTTGACGGTCTTGTTCCGTTTAGTAGAAAAAATAGAAAATAGGAGGATAAAAAGTATGATGAATACACTTTATATCCTTAAAAAGAAGAAATTATTAATAATACATTTTTTCTTCCTTTGTGTTTGGTAGGATAAATGAAAAATAAAAATAATTGATTTTTTTTTACTTGGTAAGATGTAAAAAATGTTTTTTTTTTATTTTTTTTTTATTATTTTTTTAAAAAATATAAACACATATTTTATCATTATATTTATATATATAATTAATTTATACATAATATGTAATTAATAAATATAATATATGTATATATCAAATAATTTATATAATAAAGTAGAACGAATTTGAATTTTAGAGACAAAAACTGGTCTAGATCGTTTCGTGGCCAAAAAAAACATCATCTAACGGACGACGTTATCACAAACTGTCTCAAACTATTGACGTTTCAGATTATTTTGATCTGACGTACCACATTAATTCTTTTAAAATATTTTTCTTGCTCAAAATTTGTAATTTCTAAAATTGATATTTCAAATTTTAATTCCCACAAATCTTTTCCTTAAATCAAACAAATCTTTCTTTCTCATTCCTCTGTATCTCTCTCTCATGCTCAATTCACGCAAAAAAATATCAATCTTTTGCAAATATTTTCCTATGTATCTCTCTCTGTATCTCACGAAAATATAGATAGTACTTAATTCAAACAAATATTACATCTCTTTATAGATAGATAATATATATCACAAAGAGAGATAGTATATTACGAAAATATTCCTCTGTATCTCTCTCTAAAGTCCAAAACATTGGATAATACAATCGGACGACAAACCTACGAAGGCTTGGGCATTGTGTTGGCGTAAATTTACAGTAGACTAGTGTAATTATCAATGTTGTTCATCAGGTTTCCCCGTGACCGACACTTTGGAAGATTGGTTAATAAAAGTTCTTTCTTTTGTTTATCTTTTTTCATCTCTTTTACCCATTTTTGTTCGTATCAATTTTATTACATCCAAGAAAGTATTAAACCAAGTCATTGAACTGCACATGCACAATCGTCTGAAGAAACCTACCAAAACAAGTCGATGGAAAAAAACCCACCTCGAAGAAACTCGACCCTTTGAAACTGGTCAGCAACGGACCCTGAGAAAATAAATCTGGCCCAAAAGCTTTTCTTCCCATTGGACCCTTATATATGAGCCGCAGCATGGCCCACAAGGCAGGAGATTGGTTAGGGTTGCTCCAAATTTTGAAAGACCAGCTGATATAATTCCAACTTGCAACCGAACAATGGTAGGGATATCATATTTTTGAGTGTGTGAGGACACATCTCCACACTATATAAGGACAAGTGGCTGGAGTCGTCAATGTCATGACAGTGGAGTCCAACAAAGTCAAATAGAATTGGTGCCACGACAGTGTTCTAACGCCGCGGCAAACACCCTGTTCCATGGTAGACAATCCAATGCCGCGGCAAGCACCTCAGTGCCGTAGGAAGGATCAAGCACCGTAAAAAGAGCGGAATACATTCTCATCACACCAAAGGTGATAAAATGGATTCTCGGCCAAGAATGGACAAAAGTGAAACTCCGGAGGTCTAGGGACAACCTAGGCTTGACTCACATCCCCATTGCAAAAACAAGACACAAAGGTGGGACAATACGGCCGACGAAATTGATATTCTCAATCTATGGGACATTGTTGTCCAACTGGCCAATAGACTAAGAAGAGGGGTTCCCACCTATGGAGTGGGCAGTATGACCCTCCTCAAGAAAAAATTGAGCAACGGGGATGGATGAGTATGGTTGTCAACCTCAAGTTGGGGTAGGGTAAGGTCTCAAAGGTGTAGTTTGTTCAAGTTGGTCCCCCAATGTGTGGATCACTCACTGTCCATTGATATGTACTTGACTAGGATATAGAAGGACTCTTAAGCTAACTAGGGTCATTGGTCCCGCAATGACCAATCACGAACTTTGACCTCAACTGTCAAACTCCTCTCGAGGATTGCATTTAGACTACATTCGAAGAAATGTTATATATACTTAATTAATGATGGGACACGTGACTCGGGGTGAGTGGTCATTGATATTTCCTCGATCAAGACAATTGCAAGTCAACACGGGTGTTTAAGGACAGTGGCAGACAACTCAACTTGTTCTAGTACTGTACTATAAATACTTGCATTACTTATCCATTACAAGACATTCATTACTATTTGTTTNATATATATATATATATATATATAATCTTTGTTGTTCATATCACCACGCATCTTTACTGTATATATATATATATAGTACAAAGATCGAAAACATATTATATCTAGGAAAAATTTTATTTAAACACCATGTAGTTGAATCTAAATTCAATGACAACCCTTATAAAAATAACTTTTGTTTCTATCAGTAGATAAAATAATTAATTAAATATTTTGTAAAAATACTAAAATTACCCTTTAATATATAAATAGACTAAAATGTCATTATATTATCTCAATGAATTTTTTTATTTAAAACGTTATATTAAAAACTTTGTTATAATATTAGGTATTTATATTATCACTCATGTGGTTACATAATCAAGTTTTTATAATTTTAATATTTTTCTATCATAATAATTTTTATAGTTAAAAATGATTTTTTTATAATAAAAATTACAATTAATAAAGTCAATATCAAAATCTCATCCATTTTTAATTCTTCTGCTATCATATGTCCTCTACAACGTCGCTCGACTGCTCCTCACACATCATACTTCATATATAAAATTTAAAATTATTTGATAAATTTAATATTAATGGAATAAATTTGATCTTAACTTTGATAAATTTAAATATTAATTTAGTTTTAATTTGATAAAATTAAATATTAATCNCATACTTGCTACCAAAATTCTATCTTTTCTGTCCTCTTTAAGATTAAAAAAAAAAGAGGGCAATCAAGCTTTATGTCTTCCTCAAGCATACAAATTATAGTCATGTTCATACCAAAGTAGCAGCAGGTAAGCCCAATAATTAGCAGTAAACAAAAAGCAAGAAAAGCCAAAACCTTTAAAAAGCGAAGGCTGCAACCACCAACTTCAACAATAATATGTTTCACTTTATTCTAGAATCCAATCCACCCTCCTCCCTCAACCCAATCCAGCCTGTTTCTACCATAAACCTCCAAATAATTTCATGCCCAAACCACTTTCCTAACTCGACCCTCCCCCCCTTCTTCTTTCTCTCTTAAACAAACTAAACCCATGAAATCAGAAGACCAAAAAACAAGTTCAAATCCAAACCGGGTTCAGTTCAGAACCTCTGTACCCTATCACCCTTGACCAGCGGATTAGCCTTGGCAATGGCTTCCTTTCCAAGCCCCTTGTAATCGATCGAGCACTCGTGCTTTTCGGGGTACCTATGGGTCCCACAGAAAGTCTTTCCGCACCTACACAGGAACCCAAAAACCCCCACCTTCTTATTACAACTCAAACACCTATTCGCCATCATAGGTTCACCACTCTCAACCAACGGCAATGATTCAGCCACAGAAGTCGACGTCCCCACGGTGGTCTGTAAATTAATCCCATCAGGAACAGCCGATTGATTCTGATTCTGAATCACCAGTTTCCCCATAGCCGCCATAGCCGAAGCTGCTTGCTGTTCGTTGTTTCGTAAATCCCTGTAACACTTGGAACATAGATTCATCGTCGCCGCCGTGCCGAAAAAGCCACAACCCTTAGCGCATAGTGCCGGCTCCGATGGTTGGAACTCCATGTCATCGCTGATCTTGTTCCCTTCAGAACCCATTTCTCTCTCTGTCTCTCTTTCTCTCTTCGAGTCGAACCCTAGGAGTTTGTGTTGAAAATTTCTTCGTCTTTGTAGTTTGTGTCTACAGAGTCAAGAAAAAAAAGAACGCTTATATAATGCGACAATGTGAAACTATCGCTTATTTATAAGGCTTCGTTTGGACAAAAGTCTTTATAATGACGATGGTTTTTAGTGTAATGACTAATATATCCTCCAACTTGTACGCTAAGCAACCAAAATAAGAAATTAAGAAGGTTNAAAAATATAAACACATATTTTATCATTATATTTATATATATAATTAATTTATACATAATATGTAATTAATAAATATAATATATGTATATATCAAATAATTTATATAATAAAGTAGAACGAATTTGAATTTTAGAGACAAAAACTGGTCTAGATCGTTTCGTGGCCAAAAAAAACATCATCTAACGGACGACGTTATCACAAACTGTCTCAAACTATTGACGTTTCAGATTATTTTGATCTGACGTACCACATTAATTCTTTTAAAATATTTTTCTTGCTCAAAATTTGTAATTTCTAAAATTGATATTTCAAATTTTAATTCCCACAAATCTTTTCCTTAAATCAAACAAATCTTTCTTTCTCATTCCTCTGTATCTCTCTCTCATGCTCAATTCACGCAAAAAAATATCAATCTTTTGCAAATATTTTCCTATGTATCTCTCTCTGTATCTCACGAAAATATAGATAGTACTTAATTCAAACAAATATTACATCTCTTTATAGATAGATAATATATATCACAAAGAGAGATAGTATATTACGAAAATATTCCTCTGTATCTCTCTCTAAAGTCCAAAACATTGGATAATACAATCGGACGACAAACCTACGAAGGCTTGGGCATTGTGTTGGCGTAAATTTACAGTAGACTAGTGTAATTATCAATGTTGTTCATCAGGTTTCCCCGTGACCGACACTTTGGAAGATTGGTTAATAAAAGTTCTTTCTTTTGTTTATCTTTTTTCATCTCTTTTACCCATTTTTGTTCGTATCAATTTTATTACATCCAAGAAAGTATTAAACCAAGTCATTGAACTGCACATGCACAATCGTCTGAAGAAACCTACCAAAACAAGTCGATGGAAAAAAACCCACCTCGAAGAAACTCGACCCTTTGAAACTGGTCAGCAACGGACCCTGAGAAAATAAATCTGGCCCAAAAGCTTTTCTTCCCATTGGACCCTTATATATGAGCCGCAGCATGGCCCACAAGGCAGGAGATTGGTTAGGGTTGCTCCAAATTTTGAAAGACCAGCTGATATAATTCCAACTTGCAACCGAACAATGGTAGGGATATCATATTTTTGAGTGTGTGAGGACACATCTCCACACTATATAAGGACAAGTGGCTGGAGTCGTCAATGTCATGACAGTGGAGTCCAACAAAGTCAAATAGAATTGGTGCCACGACAGTGTTCTAACGCCGCGGCAAACACCCTGTTCCATGGTAGACAATCCAATGCCGCGGCAAGCACCTCAGTGCCGTAGGAAGGATCAAGCACCGTAAAAAGAGCGGAATACATTCTCATCACACCAAAGGTGATAAAATGGATTCTCGGCCAAGAATGGACAAAAGTGAAACTCCGGAGGTCTAGGGACAACCTAGGCTTGACTCACATCCCCATTGCAAAAACAAGACACAAAGGTGGGACAATACGGCCGACGAAATTGATATTCTCAATCTATGGGACATTGTTGTCCAACTGGCCAATAGACTAAGAAGAGGGGTTCCCACCTATGGAGTGGGCAGTATGACCCTCCTCAAGAAAAAATTGAGCAACGGGGATGGATGAGTATGGTTGTCAACCTCAAGTTGGGGTAGGGTAAGGTCTCAAAGGTGTAGTTTGTTCAAGTTGGTCCCCCAATGTGTGGATCACTCACTGTCCATTGATATGTACTTGACTAGGATATAGAAGGACTCTTAAGCTAACTAGGGTCATTGGTCCCGCAATGACCAATCACGAACTTTGACCTCAACTGTCAAACTCCTCTCGAGGATTGCATTTAGACTACATTCGAAGAAATGTTATATATACTTAATTAATGATGGGACACGTGACTCGGGGTGAGTGGTCATTGATATTTCCTCGATCAAGACAATTGCAAGTCAACACGGGTGTTTAAGGACAGTGGCAGACAACTCAACTTGTTCTAGTACTGTACTATAAATACTTGCATTACTTATCCATTACAAGACATTCATTACTATTTGTTTTGACAGCATATACCCACTTCACCTAATCTTTGTCCACTGGTTAGTCGTCCTATTAATAGTCAATTCGAGTTTTTTCTGTCTTATCCATTTATTTTACTCGTCCCTCTAAATACACTTAATATAAACAGGTGTGTCGATCTCTTTGACAATTCAGCTACAAAGTGCATAACCCAATTAATTCTACTACAACCAATTTATGGCATTAGTGGTATAATCTGTCGAATGAACGACCACCATAGGGCTAGTAATCTTATTATTTCAGTCATCTTTACGAAAAAAAAATTTCAATATGTATAACATGTCCACTAATGTAAATCACAAATTAAATATTATACATTTTCAATTGTCACCTATTAATTTGTTGAAAACTTTGCCAACTTACGTGCCCATATCCTAAAACGATTTTGATATGGCTAAGATAATTTGATAATAAAGTAGAACGATTTTGATAATAAGGTAAAACGATTTTAAATTTAAAAGACAAAGAGTGGCTGAGATCATTTCATGACCAAAAAAGACATCATCCAACGGACAATGCTATCTCAAACTGTCTCGAACTATTAACGTTTTAAATCGTTTCGATCCAACGTACCACATTAACTCTTAAAATATTTTTATCCCTCAAAATTTTTAGCTTCTAAAATTGACACCCCTACATTAAATTCGCTAACCCAATCAAATTCGACAATTAAGCGATCTCTTATTCATCAACTCTGACTTTCTCTCCCTAAAATACAGATTATAACTCTTATCCTTATTTCCCTGATTTTATTTTCTACGTTAAGGGATCATTTTCTATACTGAGACATTGACTGTCTCTCACACTTTTATCTTTCATGATTCTCTTTTCAAACTAAGACGCATATCTTCCCAAAATTCTATCTTAATGTAGCTGCTCTTTATCATATCACCACCCATCTTTACTATATATATATATATATATATATATATATATATATGTTGCCATTTTTTATTTTTGATCAAATATATATATTGCCATTAAGTCGCACAAATTTTGTAATATTTACATTTCTGATCATAAAAACTTACATTAATTGACGGTGGTAATAAAAAAAAGTAAAATATATTAAATTATGATTTTACAAAAACTGTATACGTGTCTTGGGATGTAAATTATGTAAATTTAACCTAATGTGGCTTATTTTAATGTAAATACATCCGCTATCTAAGTGCAACCCAAATCTACCTAAGCATTTTGTCACCTCTTATAAATTGCTTTCTCTCTCACTATGAAGCCTTCAACAACAGCACCTACCATGAATAGAGAAGAGAAAGTCCAGAACTAAGTTTCTGTGCTACTACATGCTCCAAAGACTCCATTATATATGTGCTACCGACCATGGATTTTCCGGTGGCGGTGTTGTCAAGAAGTAGTAGAGTAATGTTCCCTTTTCTGGTATTTATGCTGACCATTTCAGTGATGCACCCATGGTTGTGCATTGGTAATTGCAAGGTTGAAGCAATTCGAATGCTACGAGACAGCGAATGGGCAGACTACGAGAACATGACCACCATGAACGTCTACCACCATAAGAAGAAGATGGAGGAGAAGAAACACAAGTTCTTCAATGGAAAATCCTTTGGATTTAATGAAACCGAGAGAAGTTTTGAAGAGATCAAACGGACAGTACCTGCTTGCCCCGATCCTCTTCACAACAAGTAGATCACCTTTCTTTTTTCTGCATTTAAGTATGGCTTTGATATATCTTAATTTGATCAAAATACCCACGTTTTCCTTTTAATTGGGTATGAAATCATCATGGTTTTATTTCATAGTTAGGGAAACCGTGGATATTTTGTGATACAATAATATTATTTAGATCTAATTTAATTTTATAATTTGTTAACTTAATTTATCACAATTATTGCATTGGTTGTAGATCTCAATAAATACCGAGGTTCGCAGTCAATTCAATATTTATGAGTGATTAAGTCAACAAATTAGGTCTAAGTGGCATTACTCTTTGCGAAATGATTAATGTATTTTATGTTTCGTTTGTTTGAAGCTTTTATATATAATCAAACTAATTGCCAAGTTGTTGGAGTTTATGTATTATAATAATAATTAATGATAAGCATGCGCATGAGATTACCAACAAATGGCAAAACTAGTGGCAAAATAGAATATTCCATTAATCTCAAATTGTACCAGAAAAAGATCATTTAAATTTTAATTTATATCTTTAAAGATAAAAAAAATTTAATTTGCACCCTCAAAGACAAAAATATGAATCAATGAGCACTCAAGCTAATAACCATCAGTTTGTCGTCTAAAAATAAATCGATAAATTATATCTAAATTTTCTCATATTTGTCACTTAATCACTTAGATCTCTTATATTTGAAATATTACACTTACATCCTTTTAGAATCCAAATAAGACTAAAAATATTCTCTTAATTGAGCATCTAAATAATTCTGTTTAAGTGATATATTGTATTAGATATAAAAAATATTTATACAAATACATGTATTATATTGAGAATTCAAATGATAAGCTTGATTTTGAACTTTAGAATATGACGGACCCACAAAATAAAGAGTAGTATGAAAATTATAATTTTTTATTAGGATGAAATTAGATATCAACGATATAGAGTTATGTATTATACGTGCACAAACGTTAAGAAGTGTT